TTGCTCTGAAGCAACTGAAGTTTCTCATTTACCTTAGCTCTGAGGAGTAGCATTAGCTCAGCAAGGTGACAACATGAGGATACCCGAATACTTTTTTGCTTAAAGCAAAACAGGAAGGAGTGCATTTGATAGGGAGCCCAAGCTCTTCTGAGCGCAGTTTGGTTTCTGTTCTTCTCTGTCCTAAGCAAATCTATTGTTTGATGTAATCATTCTTCAAAGAGCAAGTGAATTGTGAATAATTTATCTGTGACTTCATGCAAGCCAGCTGTCAGAGTGCTTAGCAGACGTGGAAGATGAAGAGCTGAGACTTCAGATGCCAGTAACACCAACTTCACAGAAATGTTGTTTCCTGATACAGTAAATGTGTTCATATTACTGTCTTATAAAATGTAGTGGTCAAGTTTCTGTTTTATTAGTCCTTTTATAAAAGATGAGAAACTGTGCCAATTTTGTAATCTGCCCACACTCCAGAATATTTAAATACTAATGTGTCTCCATATCTGCCTTCTAAGTTGCATTCCCAAACTCAATAATGAAGCCTTGATGCCTATAGCCCTGTTTGGGATGGATGGAAAAAAAGTCACTTTATGGTTTTATTTGTTGACTTTTTATGATCATGAATAAAGGTGAAAGGATTTCCATGGAGCTTTGTGAGTACTAGTAAGATTTCCTGCTGAAGAGTAGTGATTCTTTATTTCCTGTCTCCTTAAGTGCTATCAATAACAAAGCTTCTGTTAAAGATTACCAGCGCGGTAGAAAGATCTAAGTGTAGGACTCCGAACTGACAGCAGTTTTTCAACTACAAGAAATCTCATGTACTAGTTAAAATACTGGATGTACTGTGAGATAAATTCAGATAAACTGACAGTCAGCAATTCCTCTGCCTTCCTGATCCAGAGACACGGATGCTGAAGTGACCATTTTGGACTTTGTTCATTCATTAAGGCTGGGGAGCATCCTGAGGCTTGTAATATGCCTCCATCCCTCATTATCCTGGATTGTGGAAAATATTGTTAAAGTAGAGCCCCAGCACTCTGTGTTGTCAGGCAGCCTGCTCTATCACACAGAAAAGGAAGTGATTCTACTTCTGCAAGCAGGATGGCAGAAGAACATAATAACATTTTAGAACATACACATACAAATAAACCCTTGCAACCCAAAAGATCCTTTATGAATTGGGCGTTACGGATTGATGCTTTCCAATCCTTTCATTTGCATCTGTCTCATTTAAAGAATGTGGTACCTGCTGAGAGTGAAGGTATGTTGATCTTACATTTTGTATCAACAACAGCTGGTACCTGCCAGATACTCTTGGTAAGTCCTAAGAGGCTGCATTAATTAGGTGAGCTATTCTTTGGACGTGGAAGTATGCAAAATGTCCAATGCCTGATGAGGTATAACCCACAGTATTCTGGCAGAAACCAATTCAGCTACGCTCTTCAACTGATTTTGGAAGCTTTTAGGTGTTGCAGGGGACAAATTCAAAGGAATCAGGATCTTACACAGAACTACAAAGCAAATATTAACTGGGCCTGAACATTCTTATTTTAGGATTTTGCCCTTGGTGGTTCCAGTTTTTTAATGCAATGAAGCTTGAGGCTGCAATATCTACTGTTTTAGCCCAGCTCTCTTTTACGAAATGGCACATAAGAGACAACCTTCAGAGCACCAATAAGACTGTGTAAAGAAACTATAAAGAAAAGCTGTAGGGGGGCGGGCAAAGAGGAAGGTACCAGGTAATATACCATGCTGAATGGTATATTTACATATATATAAAATTTAAGACTTCCCAAACCCATGCAGTTCTCAAAGACTAAGTGGCTGATCTTTCACCACTCTTCTGGAAATAATATGATACATAACATAATTCTGTTTCCAAGGGAAAAGCAGAAAGTGCTGCTAAGAGTTTGAAGCCCTACAGCTGCATTTCCCATCATTTCTCTCGGTAATTGTTATAGACGCCACAGGTCTACCCAGGAGTACAATGTGAAGCAAAACTAATAGCAAAGGAATCTCTAGGTCTTCCATTGCCTGTAGGTACAATAAAATGGGATTATGAATTTCTGCGTTCAAGTACATTAGTCAAAATATTCGATATTCTCAGTTGTGCCAAAGAAGCAGCAGTAGCCAAGGTCAATATATGTGTAAAACAGGCAATTCAGCAACTATTATTTCATTATCAAGCACTGACAAAGCCTAATGCTACCAAGGAGTCCACCTCTAGCTAGGAATTTTTAGTATGATGTCCTAGTGGGACCATTTCCTGCAAAAGGGGTAGGCGCAGTTTTGGTATTCTGTTAAAATAAGGTTTTTAAGGAAATGCTCCTGCGCTTCTGTGATCTTAACAGAGGTGTTTCCACCTGCATTTTTAAAACTGGAGCCTTTGCTGAAGGAAACAAGTTTCTGACTAAAACTGATCACAGAAATGCTTTCTGTAGTACTATCAGCACATGTCCAGGGGACACAGACAGACCCAGATTTGAGGCAGACCATGTAGAACAATCAAGAAAGAAAAAGTTTGAACACACACTTCCTTTGCTTTTAAAGGTTTTCTCTACTGAAAGAGGGAACTTTTTTCCAAGCAACTAAAACTTACAAAAGATGAGCTGAAGACAAGCCTATTATACACTCCATATAAACACTACTTTGAAGTAGTCCTCTTAGAAAGCAAAATGGAAAAACCCTTGAAGAACATTTCCTAGTCCCCATGAGGTTTAAATTCTTTGTTCACCCAAGAAAGAAATCAAGGCAGGTCCAGTTTCTCTTCGGTGTAGATCAGCACTGTTCCTTCTACAGTGCTGCAAGCTGTTGCATTTGCACAAACCAGAAAGGTTCAGAGGACACTGGTCCCCAGAAGCAGCAAGAAGCTCATACAGCTGCAAGTGGGAAGTGGAGAATGGAGATTTGAAATCTGAGATTAGTATAGCCTGGAAGCTGCTCCCCCATTAGAGTGAGTGTCTAAAAGACCTTCCACCAACAGCTCAATCTAATCACCTGTAACTAGGGGATACTGAAGAAGTGACAAAAGAAACCCATTTTCTTGTGTCTTTAAACCCAGTAGGGGCATCTCTCACAGTGGAAAGATCTGACAGAGAAACCAATTGCTCTTGAGCTACTGCGCTCTGCTACTGGAAGTTCAACCTTCCATACTGCAATGGATTTTAGGCTGTCTCTTCATACCTTTTTCAGGTTTTATCTTCTGTCTGAGACACAATGTCACAGGCTTTAATCCAACAAAAAATGATGTAGTAAGACTAATAAAATACCTAACCTTCCTCCCCATCTCAAGTTGCTATGTATTACAAAATTTGGAGCTGCAATCAATCAAACTGAAAGTGTTCCACTGTTAGCGACTAGGGTTATCAGCAATGAAGATAGTTTCCTGGCATCTGTGATTTAATTCTAATTACTTGTTATCCTCTGTGTATGTTTAATAAAGAGCTGCTGGCGCTTTGTAGAAAAGGTCAAAACGTTCTAATAATTGCCACTTCTGCATACATGTAGCAATCCCCATATTTCTTTTTCCTTGGCTTTTCATTTGCTTAGAAATTGCTGCTTAATTGTTGCTTGTTTGCACACATCTTAACAGAGTCACTTTGTAACACTTGTATCTCCTGAGACAGCATGTGCCAAACCACTATCTTCAACCCATGAGACAAACGTTATATTGACATTGAAGATAAAACTTAGGGTACTGAGCATATTTTCATAAATGCCTGGCTAGAATATTACCTGTGCCGCGAGTGACAGAAGGGCAATGTTATAAACAGAGGGATCACAACTTCTTTGCACCTTCTTGTCCTAACACCTGGCCAGCTAACACTGACATTTAGTTAGTTCTTGACAAAGAAAGCTCGACTTATGAAAGCAGTGGCAGACTCAAATCGCTGATTCCTCCTGGGAATACAGGCTTTCAGCTGTGGTGAAAATGTGTTGAAATAAAGTATTGATGATGGGGATACTGAAAAGGTCATTCTTGCTCCTGGAGAACTGTCTGTGTGTCTGCCTTAGTGAAATTAATTCAATTGCTTCCCTTTGGGACCGATGCAGCCCACCAATGTGAGTTTAAACAGCAAGGTAGGAAAGCTTACACCATGCGAGCACTGAGTATTTCAGTACTCAGAGACAGAAGGGTTCCCGTTCTCCTAATTTTGCCCTAAGTAGTCTATGGCAAAACAGACTGGTTTCTTCTCTTATTGAAGAGTGGCAGCATGCAATATCTTAAGAGCTGAATAACACTCCATACTAAGAGATCTGCATCTGAAAATAACTGTGTTCTTACTAACCTGCTCTCTCTAACCTCATTCATAAACAAATAAAACCTCCCCATCTCCTTTCCCCCCGTCACTCTCTTGTCCCCTGCACCTTGCCCCAGCCCGAAGTCCACAGAGCTTCCCAGTTTGTAAGCTTGTTCTTCACATTGCAACTTTCTACAAGCCGTTAGCCTATGCACAGGAGAAGCACCGCAGTATTACGCCAGATGTGGGTAAGGGTGTCAGGGCTGCATAATCATTCTTTGCAACGGGAAATATTTTCATCACAGACTATTTTAGTGTACAAGGAATGAAGTGGAGGAACTGAGGCCTGGATTGAGGCCCATTTCTACATATAAAGAATCTAACGTATAAACAGATTACCGTGGAGTGACAGATTACAGCGCGTGCTATCAGCCCACGGGAAATCACTTATGCAAGGACCATGCACAGAAGCAGATGCAAGGCCAGAGAAACTGCATTTCAAGCACCACGCCTGACTTCACATATTATCTTAGCAAATCACAGAAATGGCCATTAATGCTCCACCTATATGTTAGGAATATTCATACTTTATTTTCTTTTACCTTTCGTTTATGATGCTTATTTAGACTACGATTGCTATGGGACAAGGTATAACTTTCATTGATACAGTGTCCAAGACAATACTTGACCAGTACAGTCAGAGATACTAGACATTAATGTAATGCAAGTCGTTACGCTATCCCACCTTTTTTAGATACTTACCTTCACAGGATTCTCCACGTGGTGAAAACATCCCATTGTCATGGTAGCCGTCTCTGCATTCGCAGTGGTACCAACCAGGCAGGTTAATGCAGTTAGCACGGCTGTCGCACTGAACAAAGCCATCTGAGCATTCATCAATGTCTGTTAAGTAAGAACAACAAAAAATAAGGAGAACGTTCACACAGAGAAAATTGCTTATTCATCTGATGGAAGAACAAGGTCTCTGGTGTTTCTGGGGTTCACAGAAGTTTTTGATTACCAACACTTGAATTTCCAGATTTATCCAGAGAAAACGTTTTGAATCATTTCCACAAAAGGACTTTTGCTAACGGTGTTGGCCCTGCTAATAGTGGAGGTTCTGCTAATTCCAATTTACTGTTTACATATTAGTAACTCATTTTGTCACAATATATGATAGGTAATCTGACATCTGTGTAAGTTGCCACAGTATGAAGAAAAGAATTGGATCCCAGTTCAAATAATGAGATGTTTGAGTAGTGCAGGCTGCCTAATAAACAAAGATTGTTTCTAGTGGCATATCAAAATATTAAATATTCACTCTGGTCCTTGTTTATGCTCTTGGTGACACCGATTTTAGGTTAGGAGGGCTTCTCTGTCTCATGGAGTTCCTGTTGACTTACACCAGCACCTCTGACTCTCAGCATAATTAACTGCAGTCTCCTCTCTCACCATCAAAAAGAGCAGCTGGATTCCAAACAAATGCTTAGTCCCTAAAGATGAAATGCAACATATTCTCCTCCTCCTCCTAATTCCTTTGTGATACGTGTTTCTTAAAAGAACAACTTCCACTGACTAAACTTTACAGTAACAACGCATCATAGAATGGATTTCTGGATGCACTCACTAAATCCAAAATCCACCAAAGCACGTTCTGCAGACACCTGAACGCATGGACTCAGCAGAGCTGCAGAGAACTTTGTGACACGTTCATTTCCAGTGCCTTCAGTTACGCAGTAAGCTGTATTAAGGAACAGGTCCCAGAGTATGAGCATTGTTAACAGTTAGGGAATATCAGGAGTATGGAGTCAAACAGGGATAAAAACGTGTCCTTCCTTATGAGATTCATCACATGATCTCTGTGTTTTATACCAGTGGTAGCATATCTATTTGAGCAGCACGTTGATCAGGAGGTGCCTATGGAACTGGCACTGAGGGAGACACAAGAGGTGCAAACTGCCTTCAGAAGCAAAAAGCTCTGGCCTCCCCGCCCCCTGCCGTGAGTTTGAATAACAAGTAAACCCTCAATGTACTGGTCATTCTGGCCAAACTAAAATAACAAATTAAGACTCAAACTCTTAAAAGTACCTCAGCACTTGATCCAGTATCCTCCGGGATGTGGATATGAGGAAGTGATGTGACCACTGAGATATAAGTAAAATATGTCAAAATTCTGCTCACAATCCCTGTTAGCTCCCATTTATGTCATGTGTTATTTTCACAGGAGAAAGTGTAAACTGGCTAAGAAAATCAATTGTGAGCTGCAATAAGGTAACAAATCTCTTTTCTGAGAATACTAATGTGTGCGTAGATAAAGATATACGCACTCTAGTCTCCTATGAAATCTATTCAAACACATACTTTAAAAAACCCCAGTGCTTCCTTATCCATTGAAAACACTTTGTTCCACATTTGAAGGTAAGAAAATTATTAAGCACATGGGGGACACCTGCATAAACTATAAGGTACCACTCAGTCACCCACATTTGGTTTTGAGTTGCATTTTTCTTACACGTGCCAGGGGGTAGGTGGGATGTCATCTGGGTATTTTATTAACACGCCAAATAACATCTCCTTGGAATCTCTCTGGAATAACCATGCAACCATATCACAAGTGTATTGGTTTTTAAAAGCTTTACAGATTCTTGACAAAAATTCATTAGAAATGTTCATTACTACGTCTCAGTCTGATTTTCTGTCAACAGTCTCTCTGACTGGGTGCGCCTGGTATATATTACCAGTATCTATGGTGATGAAAATTACCAGTACTCCTGCTGGAATATTGCACTAAGCATATATTTTGCCGCTTCGTGTACCACAAATTAAGTCATAAGTCTCTATTGGTTTAAACCACAGAATTTTCAACTCCACTATGAATTCCAGGATAATCATCTAAGTAGTCCTGCTGCAGGACTGAGAAATGCCAAACCTTTACAACCTTGCGCTGCTCAGTGTCTCTCTCTAAAGGGGCCAGTACAAACTCTGGCCTTTTTCTTGTGAGCAGCCAGGAGCCAGTGAGACCTCAGAGGTGTTTGAGAGATCAGAAGAAGATCAATGAAAATTATGTTACTGTAGTGAGAAAAGGCTGGTTTGCAGTCTGTGCCTTATCTACTGCTATTCACTCACATACCCGCAGATTACTTAAGAAAATGGAAAGGAAAAGAAGAAAGGACTACAATCTAGAAGTTCCCTTGCCACTGGGGAATATGCTGCCTGGGAGACAGCTTGCCTGGCAGAAAAGAATCTAAGTGACCGTGCTAAACGCTTGGGATCACCTGGTCAGTACAAGATAACTTGTTGGGCCTGGCCAAAGCTCCAGGCCCTAGAGAATCAATGAAGCATGATGTAAACTCAGAGGCTGAAAGAGAAGAGCTGTTCTTCAGACCTGATATGAACCTTCATACTTCTTACTTAATAACACGCATTAAGACACCAGATGGCTTATGTTTCTTCTTTGGGAAAGTGGAATGTATTTCTTGGTGATGAGATGGAGAAAAGAGATTTAGGTCAAAGAAACAGATATGAATTAAAGAAAGCCTGTGTTCCTCTCTTCAGAACAATTCATTTGTGAATCTGTAAGCCTTATAATTATAAGCACAGCATTGCAGGCACAGGCTTAGTGCATTCTGATGAACTCATTTACTGACCATTCAGGAAAAACAAGCCTTGAATGTCACGTCAGTATTGGTAAACTGACAACGAAAGCAGCTTTTCTGTATTTACTTGCAAACTAGCTGACAAACCTATATCACAAGAAATATTACTCGGGATGAAATGCTTTAAAAGATGCCAATAAACAAAGAAATATATTCTTCTGGCTTTGTGATGGCTGCATGCAAAGTTGAGTGGAGTTATGTGAGAAGGCCTATCATAAAAAGCATGGACAGAAGACACTGTTGGTCTTAAAGAAATGTCCTATTCTTGACAGATTGCCTGAAACCATTGCATTGGAACACCATTGCTGCACTGATGCTGAATAATCCATTAGTCCTTACATGATTTTGCAGCAAACGAAAAGAAATCCAAAACAATTCTTCTCACCACTAAGTTTTTAGGCAAACAACATTTTACAGCACGTGCCAGTGGGTTTCAGAATATAGATGTTCCTTACGCACAGAATTTTGCTCTAAATCTCCCAGCTAATGCTGATCATTAATTCTAGTAGAAACTTGCTCTGTAATGGGACAAAATATAACTGTTGCAACTTCGTTAAACAAGAAAATGCAGCAGAAATGTGTTTTGCTGAGCCAAAGCACTGATTTCATGGAAAATTTCTTGACATTTGAATAAAAGGATTTCTATTTTCAAATGGGCATAGCACGGCTCAGGAAGTGCTGCAAAAGTATCTACAACTGAAATTATCTTATTAGTATGGGAAAAGCAGCCAGAAATAATTTTTCTCTGTCCTATGGTGAAACATTCTCCGATGAATCATCTTGCAGCTGCTCAGTCAGAGGTGTGAGCTGACAAGAGAAGAAAAACTGATTGAAGTTTTTGCTTGGCCAGTGGCTATGGTATATCAGTGGGCTATATGGAACATTAACAGCACTAATGATGTCCTGTTTGATGCTGTACTAGAAAGGCACAAGAAATGAAATGTTACTCTACAGAAGGGAGTTACTGAAAGGCTTTATATTTTCAGTTATGAAAAAAATTAAACAAAATGTTTAAGTACAAGGAATGGAGGGATGTATTTTTTTCAATAATAGGTGATGACATTTTTAAGCAAATACACAAAACAGACATCTTATTTTGAGTATGCCACAGCTGGTTAAAGAGTGGAACTTGAAAAGTGGGGGAAGAAGAAGGGGAGGAAAAAAAAAAAAGACAAAAAAAGGAAAGCATCCCATCCAGGAAGCAAAATAGAGTCTCATATGTGTGACGGTCCAGAGCAAATGGCTTAATCCTGGCCCTGCTCCGATTTATGGCAGAACTCCCATTAACTAACACGGAGGTGGCATTTTCTGGATTTTTCTCTTTCTTTTTCAAATAAACAGCACACTTGCACATACCAAATCTGCCACCCCACTGAAACAAGTGGCCAGGTTTGGAACAGAAAGTAATACCGAGACAGTCACTGGAAGTAACCTTCACCCCAAGCTGGACAGCAGCTACACAGCTGTACTGTAGCACATCAGCACCGCCTGCTCTAGCTGCGCTTCCAGCCTATGGCATTTGCATGGCAGAAAATTTGTGATTTTGGCTCTTCAAATGCTGTGGCTGAAGAACACTCACCTGTGAGACTGATGAACCCACAACACACCAGGAACATGGGGAATCTCTCTACCCTATGTAATTCATGGACACACTCATGGCAATACTGTACATACCCTATTGCCACAAAACAGGGTAACTGAGTATTACACACTTGTGTTGCATGTGATTTGTTTTTCAAATATTTGGGTTTTCTCCTGTGCATTTTTCCTAAACTGAAATCAGTCAGCCTGGTTATTTCCATATTTTGTTACCCATTTTTCAACTGGAAAAACCTTCAATATTTTTTTTTTTTTTGCTAACTGAAACCTCACTCCAATAAAATAGACACACAGTCACAAGCATTTTGAAACTTTACACACCGAGCTCCCCTTGACATGGAAAAAACTTGCTTTCCCAAATCACCACCTTTATACCTCAGAATCACTCATTTCCTGAACTGTGGCAACAGTTTCAGTTATTACACCCCTTGCTCTTGGGGAGACGGAGAAAATTCTGCTCCCTGAAGAGTAAAATAAGATCATTAGCAAATTATCCACTGCTACACTAAGGAAAAAGGAAACCTAGTTCTCTGATGAATATTATTAGAGAATTCCTGTATAATAAGAGCTTTTGAAGATTGAAAGTGGTATAAAATTGCCAATTTGAAAGATAGCAGTGCTCTTTCATCCAGCTTTCTAATGTGGTCA